GTATGAAAGTAAGGGCAACTACCTTGAGCACTCATGCTTTGACCTTTGCTAACATCGTATGAAAGTAAGGGCAACTACCCGGTTTTTCCAAAATAAAAGCTAAATATGTATTTAAAATAATTAATTTAAATTATTGTAATTGTTCATTGATTTGTTTACATATGATACTTAATCTCATTTGAAATTTTTTAAAAATATCCCTATTAAAAAATAAGAATAATAAAGAAATAATAAAAATAAGTAATAAATAATAATGAATTGGTTGGAAATAATATAACAAAAAAGAGAAGTATTTTTCAACAGTGAAGTCGTGTATTGGAGAAGAATACATTATAAAATTATCTCACTATCATCAATAAGAATATCATCAATAAGAAGTATATTTTTTATATATAGGGTTGGATTAATACATGTTTTTTGTATTGCTTCTATTAATTTTTTGGAAGTACTTCCGATGCCTTTCAGACAATAAAGAAAGTTATACACTTTTTCTCTAAGACATAAAATGAGTTTACAAAAATTACAATTTGTGCATTTTAAAAATTAGCATTACACAATGCCCAAGTCACGTTTCTTTTCCTTCGCTTATATATTACATCACATTGGCAATGCATATAATTATTGGGCTGGATCATATACAGTTAAGATTGGTACATTTGAAGGATGTTGGAATTTGACACAATCACACACATAGAGGAAGAAAAGTGAGATAGCGATTTACCTTGGTTCATCCAATGTGAGCTACATTCATCAATATGCATTATATTCTCCTTACCAATACGCGTTACAAATTACTCAGTTTCAAGGAAAATATAAATAGAATTAGAAACCTAAGCAACAACAGCTATTCATGGACCTAAGCTCAAACTACTAAGAAAACAGAAAAAAAAAATATAATAAGTCAGAGACGCACAACAGTACCAGGCCTCTGCAGTCCATTGGCTTTCTCTGCGCCCCTCCAATAGGAGTCGTCATCTGAATACGAAGTATGAGTCATATCTAACAATGGAGAGAAGAATTGGAAAGTGCTTGATGAGATGATTGGGGCGTTTGCGAGATGATTCACAAAGCTAGAGGAGACTTAAAAAGGGTGATGAACAAAGATTAAAGGGATTCAAAGCGATTCAGTGTTCAAGTAGCTCATGTATTGAGGAATAAATGATTTAGCCTGAGTTGAATGCCTCTGTATTTATAGTAAATGGGTGTCTTTGCTTATGCTGCCTTCGTATGGTGGTGTGCACTCTCATTGATGGAGAGCAACAGCCTTTCATAGGCTATGTTGTGGGCGAGATGCCTATGGTTAGCCTGCAGCAAGCTAATGTTGTCATTTGGTCATTGGATTATGTGAAGGCAAAGTTGTTATGAGCAGCTAATCTCGCCAGGTCCCATTTGTCTGAGCTGCTTGTTTAGCATGTGCCAGTGAGGACACGAGATGCTTGTGGCTCCACGTAGGATGAACGTGCATTCCCTCATGGCTAAGGTTGCTGGGCCTACTAGGCTCTTCCTTGGCTAGGCGAACCCATCTCACTTAAGTCAAGTCTAAATGTTGTTGCCGATGGACCTTCAGACACTCTGGGAACTCCAATTCGTCTATTGATATCCCCATCGAAGCATAGGCAAGACCAATATTAATGAAGGTACATTTCTTTGAAAGCCAGATAATATTGAATTCACGACAAGAAAACAATATTAAAAATGTATGATTCATCAATGGTATTCAAAAATTATATTCTCTGTTGCCTTCACGTAAAAAGCCTCCTAACTCTAAATTCCACTACATAAACTAAACTTTTCAAAGTGATAAATTTGTCAATTAAACTGTTGCATATTTCTATTCTAGTACCTCTCTTCCAGTGTTTTAAAACTCGGCTCGGACCGGCCGGGTCGACCCGGGACTCGGTGACCCGGTGGGTTCCCCGGTCCGAGCGAGTAGTTAGACCGGTTATGCAGTCAGCCCGGATTGGACCGGTTGACCCGGCCGAAACTCGGCGACCAGGTTGACTCGGGTTAAATCGGTTTTTTTTTTGGTAATTTTTTTGTTGTTGTTGATAAGAACTCTTGAATTAAATCATATTCATATTTTTTGATGAATATGATTAAGAGTAAGGTGAAAATAATAAGGTATTTTAGATTAGTGTAGTTCGTTTATGTAATTTAGTTGCATCTTATAATGATCTCATGAAGTTAAGTGGTGATAAACACTGATGGTTTCATGATCTCATCTCAACGGTCTAGAGCTAGAAGCTTATAAGTATATAATATTTGCTATCATTGAAAACCAATTTATTTTTTGAAGCTCATAGATAGTTTTCTCATGTGAATTTTTATTAATATGAGTAATATTTTATTTTTTTTAACATGTGAACAGTAAACCCGGTTGAACCAGTGATCCAGTGACCCAGTACCTCGACCGGTTCGATGACCGGTCCGAGTTTTAAAACACTGCTCTCTTCTCAATCAAGAATTAATCACTTTACCAACCAATATTGATTACTTGACTTGCTCCCTATTTTTTTGGGTCTAGGACTTGCACTTTCCTCTATTTGAAGGGCTTTTTGTTTTATCCGAGTTGTTCAGACTTCAGAAGATCATGACCCATGGACTTTGTTTCTAGAACTTTGATGAAAAGTTAAAAGGTAATATTTCTCTCATTTAGGCTTTATGACATGAGTGATTCGTTTATTTAAAAGTTTGACCGGATTAATTTTTTGGCCAAATATATTATCATTGTAATGCATAACGACGTGATAGTGTAGTCACCATTTTAAGACGCGGTAGTTTGAGCAACGTGACGTACGCAATTTGAGGCTTTCTGCAGCGTTGAATCAGAGGTGCATTAATTGTTCCAAGACGCGGTATTGAACATACCATGTTTAACCACAGCTAAAGTGGTACCTTGACTACCACGTCCTAAAGTGATATCTCAACCTAACAAGCACGGACACACAAGTTTTTGAAAAATTTGCGTGTCGGACACGCTCCGACACGCGGTCAACATTTGGGGACACGCGGTCAACTCTTCGACATGTTCCGACACGTTTTTTCGACACGCAGTCAACTTTTTCCGACACGCGGTCAACGCTCTGACACGCTCCCACACGTTTTGTTTTGTTTTTTTAAATCTTAATTTTATTTTGTTAACTAAATATAAAAGAAATAATTTATAAATTAATTTTTTTCTATTATAAAATTTGACATGAAAAATTAACAAAGTACGAAAAATTATTTATATTTATATTTATGCTATGAAATTTAAATATTTGATTAGTTATATGACTTATTATAGACTCTTATATGTATTAAATATAAATTATATTATATATATTAAAAATTTTATTTAATATCAAAACGTATCTCAACGTGTCGAAATATGACATTTTTTGGAATTAACGTGTCGGAGTGTCGTGTCCCGTGTCTGTTTCCGTGCATCATAGATCTCAACTACCACGACTATTGCAAAACACTTTCTTCCATATTTGACGTACCAAGACTTTGTTCTCTGAGAGAAAAAACCTTTGCCAACTATCATGTTGTGGATTCAATTTTGATAGGAATTATTAAAACATTCGGTTATTGGCTGTAAATTTTATTAAGAGTAAAGTACATTTTGGGTTCTCAACAAAAATCACGAGGCACATTTTAATCCGTTAGGAAAAAAAAGTCAACTTGTGATCTCTCTGAAATTCAAAATAGATTCAGTTAGTCAAAATCGTGGTCCTTCTGAAATTTAAAGAAGACCTACATTAATCTCTTAAAAAGACTAACATGGATCTATTTTGAATTTCAAAGAGATCATGAATCGACTTTTTTTTCTTCTATGGGATTAAACTAGGTCCACGTTAGCCTCTCATTTAACATGAGAGAAGTTTTTTTTCCTACACTAACAATAAATGTGGAGCTTAAAGCAAAAGAAAAGAAATTGAGGCATGTCCTCTTTTGTTTATGTGACATGAGATAATTATCTCCTAGAGAAAACAATTTCCCAAAGTTAAAACACCTCACTGAAGCAGTGCAAATACGATTTTGAAATATTTGCTATAAATCATGAAATACGATGACCAAAGCCGATTAGACTAGTGGGCACATGCACACTTGGTTGTGTTTCCGTAACAATGGAGGACAAAGAGAATCATGTGTATTGGATGAATGTGACTATGGACGCATCTCCCAAACGAAAGGTACCCGAATTCGCACTCCTTTTGCATGACACTCATTAAGTCATTGTTCAATTCAGAATGAAGAAAAGACCTTAACCATTATGTATACCTAATTTATCCACTAACCATAACCCCTTTATTCAGTTTAGCCTCAAACTAGATTTTCCAAGACATCTCACTTTCAATTAGATGCTGTTATGCACTTATCCAGTGTACAGAGTTGACCACGGCAACAATTAAATCAAAAGACGTCAAATCAACATTCTCTTTGGTTCATGGAAAACTATAAAACCTTTCAAATCTTACCTTTAGCTGTTCCCAGAAGAATTTAAAGTCGGAGATAAAATACCTGCTCTGCAACTTAGTTTAATAACATTAGTTGAGATATTCAGAGCACGGCTAACGTAAGACACGCAGTCCAGTGCATCTAAGAATTGTCAAACACGCTATTGTTGCCATAGAACATCAACCAATAAAGGCTTAAAATCGCTCATAACAAGAAGATCCGTGCACTTCAGCCAATGGTCAGAGCTTCACATGCTTGGCTACTGGAACCCCCGACATCCATATCCAACGTCTTAACAATATCTCAATAGTTTAAGGTAGAGAGAGGCTCAAACCTCAAAGCATCACCAGGCACAATTGCTTCAATATTTATTTATTTATTTATTTAAAAAAAGGAGTGAGAAACCAAAGGGTAAAAAACAAAATTTATTATCAGAAAGCTTCTATCTAGATTGGGAATTCTAACTTGATTAGTGTCATTTCTTTGGCTAAATCCCGACTAACGCATGCAGTTGCTTCCAAACATGTTAATCGGATTGATAGGTAGAGCAAGTGGCAAATAACATTTAAACAGTACAAGGCCAATGACATACAGCTTCTTGATTTTTTATCACACAAACATAAAGAGACTCAATTGAAGGTACGCTGTAAAGTTTACACATTACAGATCCTTCGACCACAGAATGAACTCGCGTACATAGAATATAGGTACTCCCACAGTCAAGTCTTGGAGTTTCAGAAGTTTTAACAATCATAAAAAGCTTACCAAACATGAACGCCATGACAACAAAAAACAGACATAGCAAATAATACAAGGATTAAGGCAGCTTAGTATGAATATCTATCCAGTCCAAAATGCCTTCAGTCCTCGCCTCCAAGTAATCATCTCTTTGATTTTCTCCCCTAAATAGCCCAGTAGCTTTTAATCCCTTAGACAGTTAGATGGATAGAGTGGAACGAGTGATATTGTCTAGTTCCTGCTCTTACTTTTTTCAACAGCCCTGGGAGCTGCAAGTAGGCACAAAAAAGTAAACTTGAATAAGATATGCTGGAAGTAAAAACTTTACAGAACTACTCATGGACATTTTGAGCAAATTTCCTAATATAGCTTTGGCTTTCACTGTAAACAAACAGAAGTTGAACGTAGATTTTAAATAGTTGGGAAAGTAAAATAGATTCAACTGGGGTTTCCATCATTATTTTCTGCCACAATCTGAGTTCACATCCATAGAGCAGTTTTCTAAAATTGGAAAAATAACTCACCTCTACCCATATAGTTTATACCTCTACTCCCACCGCCACTGTTGCAAAATTACAAAAAATAACAGGCTATTTGAATTTTTGTTTACATCTTGAATGTTAAACTATTTAACCAATGTGTATTTAATATACTCAAGACAATACCTTTATTGCTTTTCCCTCCTTATATACTTCACTATTACCATTTTTAGAACAGTATTGGTTTAAAATTGTAAGATAAATGGAGTTGATAAATAATAACCTAGACCAATGGCATCAGAACTCTTCATGATCCTCAGCCTCCTGCATGTTTCAATAAACATCCTGCAAAGAGTTGAGACATCGATTGAAATTGATTTGCAGAGAAACAAATACTATGCAACTTCAATTCACGACAGATTTAAGGGGGCATGCAAAGGGCTTAACCTATTTATATGAAAGTGAATTTCATCAATGTAAAACTCCACATTATTAGTAAACAAGAAGATACCCATTATACGAGTAACTACAAATTTCAGCAGCAGTAAAAGTTTTTAACAGTTTCTTAAAACACGGCACCATAAAAATTCATTGAGTGTAAAAATTTGCACATTATCAGTAGAGTAAAATTAAATCTAAATAAAAATAATCTGAATTAGTTGCCTACGAATTATTATGTGTTTTCTTTATAAAAAATTCAGATTGAGGCTTTAACATGTCAAATAGTTAAAAATAAATCTTTCTCCTATAAGCTGCAATAAAATTCCAGTACCACAATTTCAATTCCAGTACCTCAAAAAACTATATAATTCTTCTACAATTATGCCCAAAAATTAAAGGTCCTTAGAAAAATATAATTACAATTGAAGTTTGTTCACCAGAATTAAGAAATAACACTAAATAAGTCATTATGCATTCAGAAAATTACAATTAAATATTTGACATTTTTGTATGCTATTACATAAACAGATAATAGCATGCGAGGTATAACTACTCTACATTTAAGACTGTTGATGTTCTAAGTTGACGTTTGACACAGATGACAAAAGAACTTAATTTCTTTTGAGTAGTCAAAACAATGTTAAAACATACACACATCAATTCTTTTTCCTTGTCATTGCTTTATGATGTCTCGTATCCTCAAGGACCTAGAATATTTTTAATCACTTATATTACTCCGTAGGCTTGTGCTGAAACGGGAAAATGACTACATCAGACCCACAGGTTAGCTATTCCTATGATATTTTTCAGCAGGCTGCATTTGATAAGCATAAATAATTTATGGTACCATTATTTATAACAATGTTATGGTACATCTTTACACTTCCCAGGCTTATTCACATATGCATAAAGTATAAGCCTAACTTGTTAATTAGATATTTTCAGTTGAAACTAAAAGGCTAACGAATGTGAAATCACTTTTGCTGTGACCTAATTCCAAGCATGATATGCATTACACTTTATATTCACTCTCCAAACCTTTCCAGGCTTAGTGCAACTTTTTATGTCAAAGCATTTTTCTACCATCCATCAATATTCCTTCCTAGAATATAAAATTGCCATCTTTGAGGAATTTATTCTTTTGAAAGAAATGCCGACGAAAAAGCAAGTACTCAAATGAGTCAGAACTTACTCCCAGGGAACATCACCCACAAGCATCCAGTCGCCATCTTTGTCCTCATAAGTAAGAACATATTCTGATCCATGAAGGAGATCCTTCAGCTTGGTTTCATTAAGTATTTCTCCACCCAAAGTTCCATTAGATCCACATTTACCTGAAATCAGACCAAAACAAGCAGTAACTGGATCCAGGCAAACTGTCCATAAATAATTGAAAGGTTAAGTTCCCACATAAAACTAATTCTTCCTTACTTATAGTAAAACAGCTGAACATCTTTTCTAGTGCAGAAGATAATTCTGGATAAGTAGAGTAATTCTTCAAGTCTACTTTCCTTAAATAGGGAGCACCATCCATACTGACCTTAACGAACAGTGCACCACCAGACCCTCCTTTTCCATCAACTTCTTCGGTGTTCTTTGAATTAGTTGCCAATGAATTTTTCCTAAACGATCTTATAGGAGGCCACCCCACAACCTGAGCCCTGCCACACAAGGATGATCAGAGCTGATTTCCACGGTTAAACCCAAACTTAATGAGATCAGTTCTAGTTTTCCACTTACTTGGTAGCTGGTGCACTGTTATTATTATTTGCAGAATCATTAAGACTTGGTATGGTTTCATTGACAGCATGAGGCCTCTCAAGTCCTGCCTTCGGCATTACTACTTCTTTCATTTTGGCTGGTTGAGCCCCAACATTCTCAAGCGTAGAACCAGGTTTTAATCCTAAGTTAGAAGAAGGCCTGGGTGACAGTATTGGATTGGCCTCCGAATTAACTAGGAATTTCCCCTGCATGATAGATTGGGTATTTTTAGTGTTTGGCTCAACTAATGTTTTTGAAATGTACATGTCCTTCGAGTAAATTGGTATTTTTACCTCTGAGAACCCATTCATGGCATCTGAGAACCCTCTTTTGTTGCCCAATAGAGCAGTCTTTGCTGATGAATGGTGATCATCAATCGAAGGACGCAAAGGAAACAGAGGTTTTTCATCAAATTGAATTGAGCTTCTTAAGCAAAAATCAGAATCTCTTTCAGGAGACTGTGATCCTGGAAGCCCCAACCTCAGTTCTGTGGCCTTCATGTTCAGCTTACTTTTACTCTCATCTGAGAAGGATGGAACTGAGCTGTCCACAGAAGAACAATCAGATAATCCCATGTAATTGCGTTCTTTTAATTCTAAGTTCTTGAGGCACACACTTTCCCTTGTTGTTGAGGAAACCAACAAAGTGACATTGCTTTTACCCTCCTCCCCCATGCCCAGCACCGGCGGTGACATCCCAATTCAATCCAAAAGCTCCCAATTTTGTATACCCTATCAAGCAATGAAAACATTTGACATTGTTCATAAAACAAACTGAGTTTTGGAGTAATCTCAATTATCTTACATCACAAGCCATAACCTTCAAGCTCGGTAAACAAACATGAAACAGAAACAATACAATGAAACACAGCTTGCCAAACTTGATTTATGAACAAGCTCGACAAATGCTTCATCTCAGAACTTCTATAATCTACTGAATTGAAGTATACCTTTGTTCAAAATTTCTTTGCTTTGCGCCTAAGAAGCATGAAATTAGCAACAATCACAAAGTATAGATTTTCAAATTTTAACATTGCAAAGTTAGCAACACGGCTTTGAGAGTTAGAAGCAGTACATATACTAAATTAAAAAACACAACATAACTTACATAAGAGATAAGAGTAAGATAATTATAATTCATTGCTACGCACAGTCACAGAGTGTATACATATTTATATTCTTAACTTTCGGTAAAAAAAATAAAATAATTAAGAGACAAAGTTCCCAAATATAACCGAAACAGGAATAACCCATAGTACGAGTAGTAATAAAAATACAGTAAAAGATGATGGCCAAGGGAGAATCATGAGCTATAACTCTACTGAATCACCTCCTATAAGCAGACTTCAGCAGAGAGACTAAAATCAAAGAGTGGATTCTTCAAATAATAATAATAACAATAATAATTATAATAAGAAATAACATCTGTCATTTTAAATAATATAAGTTTATATTCTTTTATATTCTGATCGTTGATTTCCGTCCATCAACGGTTATAATTTATTGGATCAAAATTATTAATTAATTAATAATAAATTTGGCCCATTAAATTTGACCCAATAAATTATAACTGTTGATGGACGAAAATCTAACTGTTAATATCTAAAATGATACAAGTTTATATCCTTCAAAATATGCTTTAAAACAATAGATATTTTTCCCGTAATAATAATAATAATAATAAAGAGAAACAGAATGGAAGTAACAGAGAGAGAATGTCTTAATGCCCTGAAAGAATCTTGGAAAAGTAAAAACAAAGATTGAAAAAATTTCATCCATTACTGGTAAAGATAAAGACGCATGGCAAAGTTAGAAGTTGGAACCATGAAAGCAAAAGGGCAAAAACAAACAGACACACAAAATTGCAGAACGGTTCCAGAAATTACGGGTCCAATTGCTTGGCTTAACCAACATAAGAAAACAAAAACGTGGAAGCAAAGGTTAGGAGCTGAAGATTAAAACGTTTTACCTGAACAATCAGCGGATCAGAAAGGGTGAAGAAGAAGATGAGTGACTGAAACTTTGGTTGCGAGTAGAAAAGAGAGAGAAAGAGAAAAAAAACTAAGGACCCTCCATTGAGCATAAAGTAACAAAAGCTTTTGGTGTCCTATGAGAAACTCCATGCATTAAAATATGACTTTAATAAAAGAAAGCGTCTTGTAAAAACACTGCTCTTTATGTAATTTTCAAAAAAAAAATTAATGTTAAAAACAAAATTCGAACTGTCACTTTTTTTTTTTTTTTTTGGGTAATGTACTGTCACCTTTTTAATAATATTCCGCCGAACTTATACGAGGGAACGCACCTCAATGGCCTTGCTTTTCTGATGATTGAGAGCGCACCGTTGATTTATTCTTCTTATATGGAATGCATGCTTTGGAGGAGGTTTGTTTGAAATAGAGCTATATGCCAAAACATAATTTTATTCGCCCATGCAAAAATTAATAACATAAACACATTTTTATTTAGACCACCATTAAATCAATTTATGTGATTGTTAATATATATGTTTAAAATTTTCTGAAGTTAAAATATTTTATATAAAACATTTAATAGGTGCTTTCAAAATACGGATATAAAATTTAGAATAAATAAAATATTATCATCAAATAAGTGAATCAATTAATAAAAAATTATTTTTCTTGAAAACGAAACCGTGTTAAAAACCATATATCTGAAAAAATAAAAAAATAAAAAAATACCATATATCTTATCATCATGCTATAAACTTTTGTTTTTGTTGAAAACGAAATGAAATCAGTACAATTCAACTGAGAGTCGGGTTTGACTAGAAAAAATTGTCTTTTGATATTTTGGATTTTTGTTTAATATTGGGAACTATATCAGGGCAAAAAGCTTTACGACTTCTTTTTTTTTTGGTATACTTATTACTTATTTTTTTAGTTAGTTCAAATTGGACTTTATTTTTAATAATGAAATTTGATTTGATTGGAAGTAAAGGAATTCTTGGTGAACCTGATTAACCGTGCCGAGAATATATATTACACGAGTTTTTATTCAAACCAGTGCTACTTTATATTTTTTTTTTGGGCCAACGTTTCTCATTGGTACAACGGAATCTGGTAGCCGAAAGGGAGGAAAATAGTATGCCATAATAGCCTCAATTAGAAGAGATGAGTTATGAGTTATATTTATAATTTTTTTTATTATTAGATTAAAACTAAATTAATAATTTTTATTTAATGTTATTTTGTAAGTGTTGATTTAATTTGATCCAAATAACAAAAATAATTATAAAAAGAACTCCCGAATCCTCTTTAGTAGTGGTAAAGGGATGCAGCACTTTCTCTAATACCCATTTGTTCTGGTGGCAGGATTGTCTTCTCAATCGCTTTCCATCAATCCAGAAACTAGGACGTGTCTAAATCACTGCCCTCCAATGTCGTTTTCCTTACCTTGGTTTAAGATAGGCATTGATAAGAATTTTTTTTTTTTTTTTTTAGCGTCCTTAAACTTTTCGGGCACCGATTCGTACTCTTTCATCCAAACGTGGACACCTGTCAAATTACAATGCTACCCCTGAGAAAAAAAAATTTGGTTATTTTATTTTGACTTTCTGAGAACGCGCCTGCCCCATGTAATCATAGTGCCCTCCATATTTCCTTCCATTTATTATGGTGTTCTTTTGTTTTTCCTTTTAATCTTTGATATCCAAGAAAGAGTGGAACATAGTGATTATGAAGGCAAAGAAAAACATGCCGTGCTTAGCCAAACGCCTGATTAAATCAACAATTTTCAACTACCACACTCATTACCCTAACAAAGGTGGCAAGATTCCCTCTCTCCATCCACCTCCTCCGTATTATATATACACAAACAAGAGGCTGTTAATATTTAATACCATATATACCCCCACACACACTCACATCACATGCATAGATCCCTCTTATTACTCGCACATGTTGTTGTAGGCCATAAGGGCAAATAAAGAAACAAAGGACCAAATAATTTAAGGGATTTATAAGAGTTATGTTATAGAAAAAGTGATTGTGTAATGTGATAGAGATTTATTTTGTGTGTCTTAATTTTTTTTTTTGCTTTAAAAATTATGAGCCTCACAAAATATTGTGTGCATAAAAAAAAATTGTGTCATGTTAAAAGACAAAACGAAAACCATAATTTAAGTATACATTCCTTGATGGCTGAAACTGATGCCGTTCTCAATGCGGCCTAGCAATCTAGCACAATACAGTAAACATGAAAACGACCCAGTATAAAAAAAACAACGCATTAAAGGTGGTCCAATATAATTTTATCATAAATAAGTAACATCAATAAAAGACCAAAATATATTGGGCTTTTTGTTAGTACTATATTTATTAGGCTTATATCGAGAGAGAAAATGTAGGGGGGGGAAAATATAAAAAAAAGGAGAGAGTGGGTTGGGATTTTGAGATTGAGTGTGCAAGATACGTATAGGGAGCATTAAAAAAGAGTGTGGAAGGGGACAGAGAAAAACAGGGCCAAGCGAAATGATGTTTTGGGGGACAAGAAAGCGGCTTTTAATTTGGATTGCCGGGTTCAGAGCGCGACAGATAACTTCTTCACTACTTCTGTATCAATCTGGGATTGTGCCCCACTCTCTCATATGTACGCGTCTTTTACACGACCCAACCATAATGTTTGAGAATGCCATTTAGAGCTCACGTGAGAAATATTGGATTCCGATAATCTGAATAAATTAAGAACAAAATTTTAACAACATTATTATTTGGGGTTCTTTTTAGTAAATTTCATTGTGAATTTTAATACATATATTAATAAAGACCAAGAAGATCGAATGCTCCAAATATAAAGTACCTTACGTTTGATTAGATTTATTTATTTTTGAAATTATTTTTTTAAAATAAACGCTCCTAATGTTTTTAAATGTAATTGAACGTAATTCTTTTAAAATAAAACTAAAAAAGTAACTACCTCTTATTTTAGAAGTTATTGATTCTTAACTTCTGAAATAAGTAAAAAAAAAAGTTGAACAAAAAATTAGTAATTTTCAATATAGTTTTTTGTTTGACATCATAATCAAATTATACAAAATATTTTTTTCTTTAGCAAAAATTGTTTTTAATATATATATGAAAAAAGTATTTGTCCTTTTAAATGACACAACTTATATTATTTTACTCTCACAAATAGGTGGGACCCACAGCTTTATTTTTTTTTGTCCAGTCTCTCTTCCTTTTATCTATCTTTTTCTCTCACTTAAAATGACACAACTTTACATACTTTAAAATGACACTCATTTTTTCATATATATATATATATATATATATATTGTAATTTTATGCGATTGATCCCTTAGTTTCAGACCCAATAAGAATTTCATTCTTATTTTACAGAATGAATCTCCAATAAATTATTTGAAATTCCGAATCTTACTTAAATAAATAACATATAATAACTAATCAACTATTTTTCTAAGTAGTTGTAACTATTTATAATTGAAGCTAATTACTCAAATTATATCATATATTTGATTATTGTGTAAAATAATGTCTTCTTTGTTTATTGTTTTAAATATATAAATTTTTTCGGTTATATTTATAAAGCTATTTTTTGGGGTACAATTATAAAGCTATTTTTATTTTGAAGAGTGGTGAGGGATCATCATGTCATTTTTTATTGTGAAATGGTGTGCATGACAACTTTTTCGAAAACAAAATTTTTTAAAAAAATTGTTCCCAGGAATAAAAAGGCGTGCATGACAATCATTCTGTTCTCTGACACTGTTTCTGAAAAAAAAAACAATTCTTTTCTATTTCTGTGACTTGGAACAGTTTATGAGAAAAAAAATGTGTTTGATAACATGTTCTATTTTTATTTCGAGAATGAAAATTGCGTTTGATAACATAACAAATAATATAATTCACTTTTTTTTCATATGGTGTGGCGGCGGCAATGGCAGCGTGGTGGTGGTAACAGTGGCGAAGGTGGTGGTGGTGACGGCGGCGATAATTACATGGTGGTGGTGGAGACAACAGTAGCTGCGACGACGGTGGTGGTAGTTGGTGCAGTGGCGGTGGCATGGTGGTAGTGGTGCCGGTAGTGGCTGCGGTGATGGTGGTGTCAACGGCGACGGGAGTGGTAATGACATGGTGGTGCTGGAGACAGCAGTGACTGCGACGATTGTGGTGGTAGTTGGTGGCAATAGTGGCGGTGATAATGGTGGTGGTGGTGACGAGAGTGGCTGCGACGATGGTGGTGGTGGTGGCGACGGTGATAGTGGTGGTGGAGACAGCAGTGGCTGCGACGACGGTAGTGGTAGTTGGCAGCGGTGGTGGTGGTGACGACAATGGTTGCGATGATAGTGGCGGTGGCGGCGGCGGCGGTAATGGCATGGTGGTGGTGGTGACGACAGTGGTGTTGGTGATGGTGGCGGCAGCAGCGGCGATGGTAGTTTTGGTGGTGGTAATGACATGGTGGCGGTGGAGACAGCAGTGGCTGCGACAATGATAGTGATAGTTTGTGACGGTGGTGGTGACGGCAGTGGCTACGACGATGGTGGTGATGGTTGGTGGCGGTAGCGGTGATGACGGCAACAATAGTGGCGGAGGCGGCGACGACGGTAGTGGCGGCGATGGTGGTGGTGATATGGCGATGGGTGAAGGTGATGTGGTGATGGGTGGAGGTGGTGGTGATGGTGCGGTGGAATCGTGGTGGTGTTGACAACGACACTGGTGGTACGAAGACAATGGTAGTGGTGGTCGTGTCGCGATGATGGTGGTAGTGGTGGAGAGTAATTGAAAGATATAAGTGTCTCTCATTTTGTGCTTGGGAACAAAAAAGCAAAAAAAAAAAAAAATTGATTCTTTTTTCTATTCCCAAGCACAAAAATTAATCGGTTCATCCCAGAAATAAAAAAATTAACCGATTTTACCAAACAAGTTTTCTATTCATTTTTGTTTCCTGTAACATAAATTAAAAAGGAACCGATTCCGGGAAGGTTGTCATGCACACCCGAAATGGATAGAAATCTTGTTTGCTAAAATCGGTTTATATTTTTGTTCCCAGAATGAACCGATTTAATTTTTGTGCTAAAGAACAGAAAAAAGGAATAAAAAAATTTCTGCTTTTTTGTTGATGTGCACAAAACGA